TCAACACAAAATTCTGAAAAAATTCTCAGAGCTCTTTGAAAACAAAGTAAGCAATTTTTATCTCTTAATATTTTTCGGTAAAGTTAATAGAATTCAAGTAAAAAATTATTGAAACCAATAATTTTGTAGATATTTACGTAAATATCTTAGAAAATAGAGGTCGTATAAAAAATTTTTTCAAACAAAAGTTGTTTGCTTTTTCACGTAGAATAAAATGCCGTAATAAAAAATATGTATTTCTATCTAAAAAAGCAAAGTTGACCTTGTCCTGACCTTGGCGACGTCATCTTAGGTCAAATAACTACTGTCATTAAATGCGACTTTTTAAGCCTTACAACTTTTATTCGAAACATTTTTCTCTAAAATGCTCCCCCGCCGAGTTTTCTTGCCGTTGCCGAACTTATGGGACACACTGTATATATATATAGAGGGGGAATTGCGTATGCCTCCTGTAGACCAAAAGTATATCCAAGATCTGTGCGAGAGAGAAAGATATACATTCCTATTCCTCCTCTGTGCGCATGCATCAGTTGTTGATGGACTACAAAATTATTGGTTTAAATATTTTTTTACTTAAATTTTATCAACTTTACCGAAAAATAGTAAGAGATAAAAATTATTTATTTTCTTCTCATAGAGCTTGGAGAATTTTTTCAGAATTTTATATTAACTTTTTAGTATTACATTTTCTTGCGTTTTCTTGCATTTTCTTGAAGTACTAGAAAGTTAATACAAAATTCTGAAAAAATTTTTAGAGCTCTATGAAAAGAAAATAAATAACTTTTATTTCCTGTCAACTGTATAATCTAACCTAACCTAACCTGTCAACTTCAACGTATGCGCACGGAGGACGAATAGGTATAGCTTTCTCTCTCGCACACATCTTGGAGACGCTTTCGTGCCAGCATTCCCCCTCCATATATATATGCTCTAAGGGTGCTATTTCACGTGTCGTACGACAATTTCGGATACTTTTATTGGTTGGCGATAGAATATTTCTAGGTTCTCTGTTCGTCAACCAATGAACGTACTGTGTATTCAAAAAGCTTGTCGTACGACACGTGAAATATCAGCCAAGACTGCACACAAATTGACATAACAGTAACGTAAGACGTACTGTAAAAATGGACCAATTACAATCGAGTATTTACAAAAATGGCGACCTTACGGTTCGACGATACTCAAAGTGATTGGTCAATTCTTACGGTATGTCTTACGTTACTGTTATGTCAATTCGTGCGGCATTCCTTAGTCCTAATTCCTCACGAATTTTCAAAGTGTTCTAGGAATTAAGTCGCAAAGTATTCGCGAAGTATTCGCTAATAAAGTCTTAAGGAATATTTCAAAACGAACTTATTGTTCGAATTATTATTAATTGGTTAATTTTTCAAAAATTCTTCGGGTATTCATTTTTCTAGTTTTATATCTATTCTTTAAAATGAATTCTCTAGAAACTTCTGTTCATCTCTGTGCTATCTGGGATATATATTTTTAATAGTCATATGAGGAAAAAGTCTTCGGGGCGACGGCTGGAATCGAACTCGAGTCTTCCGCTTGTCAGGCAAGCGTTCTTAACACTGAGCTATCTATCCTAATAAAAAAAATTGATAGAGAACGATTGAGAACGATAGGATTTCTATCAATTTGAATCGTTTTCTTTAAGCTGTATCGTTGACGCTCGCAAGCTCAGATATTAATCCTATCGTATTTTATCTGGTTATATACGATTTTATATTCTATAGGAGACTAATGATAAAAATTCTATCACTATCTATTCTATCGTATACGATAGAATACTATTCACATTTGTGAATTCACGAACCAAAACCCATATTCAAAACGATAGAAAACGATTATTTTATTCTATCGTTCTCTGTCAATTTTTTTTTTACCAGGGATAGCTTTAGACGTTAGTAACCTCTTCCGTTTTCCCATAAAGGACATTGGTATCGTCTATTTTTCGGTACCGACACAATACTGGCCCAATATCCTCTATTGGCAGATTGAATACGATTCTTACTTGGGTATCCAGTACTGATTCTACAAACAGGGCCAGTACCAATGATACAGCTTTTTTATATTAGGCCCAGTATTGAACTAGTACCAAAGTCGGATATCCGCTTTTCGGTATCGACCTAGTATCGGGCCATTTTTCTGTATTGGCGAAATGTATACGATTCCTACTTGGGTATGGAAGAAAATATTACATGCAAACATTTCTTTCTAAATACTTCACATTCTTTTTAAGTGTACTAAGCGTTATACCGGCACAAACTTATACGACAATTGAACGCAGAAAATTTGTTAACGCAGTTAGAAAGATTAGGCGGGTTACATAAACAGCATAAGGATTATACATTCGTTTGTATTTCTCATTGCTAGTATTTTCTGTCTACTATAGTCACTTTTAGAAAAAGTATGACTGGCTATAATCTAATTGGGCGCCATAGAGAAACTTATTGCTAAATTTGACAAATGGTTCCGATATAAATTTTGTTTCTGCCACCTATACTGGTTAGATACAAAACATATACGATATCGCAGTGCTTGCTAGTCATTTATCCATATTAGCTAATTTTTCATATCTAAATAATTTTCGCTATGACTGCAAGATTATTTTTTTTAGTGTTAGTTTTACTTCTTATGATTTTCTATATGCTCCAGATCTAATGCGAAAGTTTCGCACTGTAATCTATCTAAATGCAATGTATGTTGTAGTATGCGGTACATTGCCTCCTGATGTTACACCACTTATTGTAAACGGCGTACGACCTAACATCACAGAATTCCCATGGCACGCTTCTATGTATCGTGAATCTGCGAGTGGGATCAAGAAATATTTTTGCGGTGCTTCTATCATCCAAGAAAATCTTTTGATAACAGCAGCACATTGTGTATACGACGAGAACACTAGGAAAATTATTGAAAATCCCAGACAAATACATATATTAACGGGTAACATTTTCCGCGATTATGACTCCCTCTTGCACGACAAACGGCTTGTTAAAAAGGCTCAGGTTTGTAAATGTAACATATGTACATGTTGTAAACGTAATATAACTAATAGGAGACACATTATTGTTATTTCTGGTGATTTATACATGTCTTTTTACAGGTAAAGAATATTTACATTATATGCAATTACTTAGGACTTATAGGAAATTATATATGGGACATCGCGATATTGGAGCTTGTCAAACCATTTGAATTGTCCACCTGGCTAGTGCCCGCATGCATAGATCCTTTCACATATGGTGATCAAACTGTGTTGGAAGCGGGTGCTTACGGGAAAGTGGCAGGATTTGGTAGAACTGCGATGGGTGATTCCAGCGCAATATTACAAGCTTTAACAGTGCCATATGTCCAATACAGCCAATGCAAGTCAGCAAGTCAAGACACCGAAAAACAAAAATATATCACTATCGACAAGTTTTGCGCAGGCTACACGAATGGTTATTAATTTTAATATAATTATTAATCAACTATGCTAATAGCATAATAGCATAGTTTAGCAGAAGCTATACAAAATGTTTCTTAAGTTTAATATTTTTTTTTTAGGGATTTATTTTTAAAATCATTTGATGAAGAGAAAAGTTTATATTAATATATAATCTCGAAGAGAGATTTCATTTCAGAAATACATAAAATTCAATATTGGAATACAAATATCTCCTAAACTAATGATTTTATCTACCATCCTGGCGAAAATTGAAATTGGAGAGTAAATAAAGTGTAAACGAAGAGTAACGGAAGTGTAAGTGAAGCGCTTACAAAGCGTAAATTGAAACTTCGGAAAGCAAGCGTACCGGCTTGCTTACTTTCCGATATTTCAATTTAGAGCCTCCACACAAGAACATCCGTAACATATTAAGTTTACGGATTTCTTTATGCGTTGACTTAAGTTTAAGTTTACGTACAAATATCCCAGCGAGAACGTAGACGTCGATTCGATGTCTAATCGATGTCGGAGAAGTCTAAGTTACGTTTAGTCTAAATGCACGTCTAGAAAAATGACAATTTAGACGTCTTCTATTTTAAGTAAATTTTAATGTTTTAGAATCCATTCATAATATATTGACCATTAAAAGAAAGTTTTCGATAAAATTTTGGGATTTTATTTTGTCGATTATTTACTATTTCTCTAGACGTCTATTCGATATTAAATCGACATTTAATATCCCAGTGAGAAATAACTTATCAATTGATGTCGAAAAGACGTCGAATCAACGTCTATTTGACGATTTCGACATCGATTCGACGTCTTTTCGATGTCGATCAATAAGTCATTTCTCACTGGGATCGCGCGCGTTTTGCATAAAAAATTTATTCTAAATGGAAACGTCAGTTTTTTTTAGATTTTCGTTTTAATTATAGTATTACAAAGATAAGAATGTCAGGTTACTCAAAAAACATTAAACTGGATGGAATAATGAAAGCCATTTTGCAAATAACTACATAAACTTTAGAGATATTAAATAAAATAGATAGGCGAATCAACGCGTATATTTGCTGGGTACGTTATAATATACAGTGAACACTGTAAGTATACATTTTATAAGCATAAATTGTAAGAACATCGTTGGAGTCATTGGAACACCGCGTGCCGCTCGATCGTCAGGTTCCCTTATAGAAATATCATACTAAAAATCATTGATTAATTACTTATTTTCAGTATTAAAAGTATAGTATTTAGTAATATTCTGTGATTCAAATACAGCTTTTTAGTACTCAAATATTTCAATATTTAATGTTACAAATCCTACTTTTCGATTGATTTCAATACTTAAATATTGATATGTAATACTTCGGCCAGTGATAAAATACTTACGCAGAACGTTGTCAATATTTAAATACTGATATATAATATTTTGCTAAGTGATGAAATACTGATATATAATACTTTGCTAAGTGATGAAATATTTACGCAAAGT